AGGCTTACCAGGGTGAGTTACGGGACCGATTGGAGCAGTACCTACCAGACTTCGAGTCTGGTAAGCTTAAGATCTTTGTGGATGAGGTCTTTCCGTGGGAACAGATTCAGGAGGCCCACAAGCATATGGAAGATGCCAAGAACCTCGGTAAGATTATATGCACTATCTCCTGAGGTAGAGAATGATTTTAGGCTACAGTATGTGGCATTTGAATATAGCACAAAAAGTCATCTTCCAGAAAGACTTTCCATTCGAACCCCAAAGCATGGATATCAAACAGTTCACTAGTACGTTAGGTGTGGGAAATTGTAGCCTATCTTCTTCCACCCACCATGAGAATCCCCATCACTTGCTTATATTCAACCAAATCAACAAAGACACTAACAGAAATCACTGCAACGACCTGCACGCCACATTTGAAAAAGCAAAAGGTATCATGACACAAGTCAATGAGCCTTGAGCCAGTTGAGCATCTGGTCATAGGCCGTGGCTTGAGCATCCTTGATTGATGAATCTTGGTACTCGCCTACAACCGCGAACCCTAAAGAAATCATTAGCTGACTCATGCACAAAATTCAAATTTAAGGAGATATTACCATGCGGAACTCCTGGATAAACCTGAACCTCATGCTCGACGTTGGCGTCAGACAAACTGTCTTCTCCCCCTATCCGAACGCTGTCGGGGAAGAGAGGGTCATTCTCGACGCAAACCAAGCTGAGAGGAACACTGATATCCTTGAAATCATCAGGTATAACAGAAGCAGCATGTGCCAAAGCACCAGCCTTAATAAAAGGACCGTTCTTGACACCGCCGCTCTCTGCATCTCCTTCAAGGGTCTTCGTTTGTTTAGCAAGCAGAAGAACAAATCGTGCACCAACACAGTATCCAGCGGCATAGATGCCGTCGCCCTGTTTGATAGTATCCGCGTACTGCTCTCGCGCAACATCAATGACTTTGTGCAGGATGGGCATGACCCTCTCATCTGTGACGCGGGCGAGCCACATATCAATGAGGAATGACTTGGTAACTTCTACAGCCTTCAACTTGAATTGTTCGAGGATGGACGTGGAGTCGTCTGTAATAGCTGTGGCCCCAGGAGCTGTATCGCCAGCGAAGAGGTCGGGCATGAGGACAAGATAGCCCTCCGAAGCAAACTTATCGGCCTGGATCTGGTTGTTGGTGGATTTGATTCCCGTACCGCCGGTCAGAAGGAGAAGGAGTCGTGAAGGCGCATGGGGGTAGTCGGTGGGTTTCGAAACGTAGACCTTAGTAAGGGAGGGTCAGCTAAGAGCTTGAGGAGCTTGTTGACCACGTACATCGACATCGTTGAGTTTGATGATTTCGCCTGTGGAGGACTGGCCCGAAGCTGCAATTGTTAGCGATCTGCGATGATGCCGTTCTAAACGGTGCCTTACGGGTTGGTCTGTCAGAAACACAATGTTCGCCTACGACTGGAGCTTCAGCAGCTGAAGCTGGAGCTTGTATGTTGTCGCTGGCCGCAGGGGTCTCCTGGGCGTCGCTCTCAGGAGCGCGAGTAGCATTATCTGCGTCGGCCATCTTCATAGACTTCTCGACTTCAATTTACCTGTCTTTGGCTGGGACAGTGAGTGGGTTGGTGGAACCGTACTGACTACTCTGTGGGCTGAAAGGCAATGAAAGAAGATGACGCTGCCTGCTGCATGTGGAGGGGCAATCTGACGAACAAGGTCCAGGCTGGAACTCAACGTCATGTTGGAGGGGTAACTGACTTGGTAGGTACTTTACTTGACTTGCTCTAGCAAGAAGTGTGTAAGGTAAAAGCCAAATATAAAGCATACCTATATCCCAGAATAAACTTCTGAAAAAAAAGGACTATCATAAAGGTCTTGTAATTACCGAGCTACACAATGCTGTTATCAGGATGCATGGATTTTACTACGAAACTACTGCCTACCTAAGGTCAGAGATCTCATGGCAAACTAGAAGTAAACGCACTGGCCCTTGGCCATATAGTTGTTGCTGGTAGTGTGGCTAGGGGAGGGAAGAAAATACAGGTCCTCGATCCTAGATGATAAAAAGACTTAGGTAATATAGCCTAAGCTTGGGATGACTTTTGCCAAGTTTATTTTGATACCTTACAGCCAGCTTTGCTATTTTCTTGCCTCCTGAGGTGCGGATATATGGCCATATACTACACCACGGATTAAGGGATGGCTTAATTCCCAGCCTCTTCGCTACGAGGTGAGGATTGCTTTCATAGCAGCCAGAAGAAGAAAGCAAAGTTGGATGGTGACTTGGCATTTGTGTCTATTCCTCTAGTGGTGAATCAGTACAAGTAGTCCCCAAAAGGTCACAATCGGTTGCCATGAGATAGCTTCATCAGCTACGGAGTACAGATAAGATCATCGCTAATGGGACGGAAGAAATGAGCTAGAAATAGAAACTCAGGGTCTTCAAAGTACTTTCAAAGGTAAGGTACCCAATATCTGAAAATGAGTACCCCCGAAGGACTGTCGCTGGCTCCTAGTTGATGAGGGCATGTAGGCTGTCTCCACTACTTACGTAAACAACAACCCCACGATTCTTGCCACAGCGCGTTCCACTCAACGCGCTGAACGCGTCTTCCACACCTTCTCATTAATGCACTTCACTTCTCACCTAGAACAAAACCAAGAGTTCTCTGTTTCAACAGCATACACAACCTACCCCAAAGACACGTAAAGCACAATAATCATGGACGCAGCTTCGGCGCTATCTCGAGGCGCTCTTGAGTATATTCTTTTCACCTAACCTTCCTGTCGTTGCTCGCTAACTTTTGCCCAGCGTGATCTTCAATGATCCTGATAAAGCCAGCAAGCTCTTCCCGGTACCTGTTCTGCAATGTCTACAAGTTAAGCAGATGGCCCCTTCGGCCCAAGGGGGAGACCGATTTCGACTTGTGATGAGCGATGGGCAGCATTACGTTCAGACCATGCTTGCTACGCAAGCCAACCACGTCGTTCACGACAACAAGCTGGTTCGTGGTTGCATTGCCCGAATCAAGCAATACACACCCAATAACTTGAAGGGCAAGAAGTAAGTGTCTTACTAAATTCTACCGGACGGCCCTAATACTATGTAGCATTCTCGTCATTCTCGATATCGAAGTCATCGAATCTCTTGGCGTCCAAGAAAAGATTGGCGAGCCCTTTGCCGTCGACTCCAAGCCAGCGGCCCAAGAGGGTGCCATTGCTGGAGGCGATTTTTATGGTGTCAAGAAGGAAGAGTCAAAGACACAGCCCCAGCAATTTCAACAGCAGCAACAACAGTCGATGCCCTCCCGACCCGCCAATCATGCTGGCAGTAACATCTACCCTATCGAGGGTCTGTCGCCCTTCGCCCACAAGTGGACCATCAAGGCACGAGTTACCTCTAAATCAGATATCAAGACATGGCACAAGGCCACTGGCGAGGGAAAGCTTTTTAGTGTCAACCTGCTCGATGAGAGTGGTGAGATCAAGGCCACTGGTTTCAACGACCAGTGTGACGCTTTCTACGACCGCCTGCAGGAAGGCTCTGTCTACTACATCTCCACACCTTGCCGAGTTGCCTTAGCCAAGAAACAGTTTTCGAACCTTACCAACGACTACGAGCTCACCTTCGAACGGGACACTGTTATCGAGAAGGCAGAGGATCAGACCAATGTTCCGCAGGTGAGGTTCAATTTCTGCTCCATCCAGGAACTCCAGAGTGTGGAGAAGGACAATACTGTCGATGTCATTGGTGTGTTGAAGGAGGTTGGCGAGGTTGGAGACATTACATCCAAGAAGGATGGCCGACCATTCCAGAAGCGAGAATTAACACTTGTGGACGATACCGGCTTCTCAGTCCGTGTTACTATTTGGGGCAAGTCGGCCAACTCTTTCGATGCTCCTCCTGAATCCGTGGTTGCTTTCAAGGGCACGAAGGTGTCTGATTTTGGTGGCAAGAGTCTCAGTCTCCTCTCTTCTGGCACAATGACCGTTGACCCCGATATTCCCGATGCCCATAGACTCAAGGGCTGGTACGACTCTGCCGGTCGCAATGACACATTTGCCACCCACCAAAACATGGCGTCCATGGGCAATGCTACAGGGAGAAAGGAAGACCTCAAGACTATTTCTCAGGTCAAAGATGAGAACCTTGGCATGGATGATCAGGCTTACTACACTATCAAGGCGACTATTGTCTTCGTCAAGCAGGAGAACTTCTGCTATCCCGCTTGCCTATCTCAAGGCTGTAATAAGAAGGTTACACAAATGCCTGACGGTACATGGCATTGCGAGAAGTGCGCCATCTCTCACGAAAAGCCGGAATACCGGTACATCCTCTCTTTGAACGTTGCGGATCATACCAGTCACCAATGGCTGAGCTGTTTTGACGATTCTGGTCGACAGATCGTGGGACGAACTGCCGACGAGATGATGGAGCTCAAAGACAATGACGACAATAAATTCATGGCCGCGTTTGAAGAGGCTAACTGCAAAAAGTTCACTTTCCGATGCAGGGCGAAGATGGACAACTTTGGCGAAGCTCAAAGGTAAGCAGGACGATCATGTTGATCATTAATCAAATACTAATACCGATTTTATAGGATACGCTACCAAGTGATGACTGTCACCCCCTTAGACTTCAAGTCTGAAGGCACCAAGCTTGATGAGCTAATCAAGCAGTACGAGAGCAGCTCGCTATAATGTGCTTACGAATATTCAACCTGGGATCATTGGAGTGCCGGCTGACTAAAACATGTGCTTCGGGGGATATATCGAAACACTTTCTGCGAAGTCTGATGAAGGCGGACTTTCGCCATCGGGTCAATATTGGCACAACATAGTAATGAGACAAAAGCAGTAGCACAAAATATCGCTATAATTGTGTTGAAACCGTGACTGGAACAGCCTGCTATTTTTATAGCTGTTAAACTTAACCCAACGCCTCCGTGATATGCCGTCATCTTTTTCCTTCCTTCCTTCTTTCTTTCTTTCCCTCTACAAGAAGTTGTCTAAAGGGACAGCTTCTCGTGCTTCCAGGGTTTCTTGCCTTCTCCGTCTCCATAGTCAGCAGTAGCCTGGTAGTCACCTCTGATCTTGTACTTGTAAATAGTCAGTCCATCAAGGCCGACTGGACCACGAGAGTGAATTTTGTTTGTGCTGATACCAACTTCGGTACCGAAACCATAGCGCATGCCGTCGGCAAGACGAGTAGCGGCATTCCAGTATACACCAGCTGAGTCAACCTCGTTCATGAAACGTTCGGCTTCGGCAGAATCAGAGCTCATGATAGCGTCCGTGTGGTGAGAGCCGTGGGTGTTGATGTGGTTAATGGCCTCATCAATAGAGGAAACAGTCTTTACTCCAATGGTGAGGGATAGATGCTCAGTATCATAGTCTTGAGGGGTGGCATCTTGAACACCTTCGAGTGAGAGAGAAGAAATGGCAGCCTTGCTGGACTCGTCGACTCGGAGGGAAACCCCTTTGGCCGCAAGAGCGGAAGCAACAGCAGGGAAGATGGTATTCAGAGCCGATTCCTGGACGAGAAGGGTTTCGACAGCATTGCAGGCAGCGGGATAGCTTGTCTTGGAGTCCACAATAGCAGTGATAGCCTTTTCCTTATTGGCAGAGGCTGTCAAGTAGATATGACAGAGACCATCAGCGTGGCCGAGAACGGGAATCTTTGTGGACTCCTTGATGTAACGAACAAGTTCGTTCGATCCGCGAGGGATGACAAGATCAATATAGCGGTCCTGAGCGAGGAGCTGGGAGATGACGTCGCGGGTTGTGACGAGCTGGATGGCTGAGTTGGGGACCTTTGTGGTCTCAAGAGCTGATGAGATGACCTTTGAGATGGCCACGAAAGACTCTGTAGACTCTTTTCCACCTGCGATAATAGTGAGAAAATAAGCCAATTTTATGATATTTCGGATGAGCCATGACATTACCCTTGAGAATGGCAGCATTTCCAGACTTGATGGCGAGAGAAGCGATGTTGGCGATGACTTCGGGACGGGCTTCGAAGATGATAAGGAGGACGCCAATGGGACATGAGACACGCTCCATGATGAGATCATCGTCGAGTTTTGTTCTCATCTGAATCTGGCCAACTGAAATAGTATTAGTTTCACGAGTCTTATAGTCTTATGACTGTTAGATTACTTGGGTCATTTAGATCCCTCACATCCAAGATCCCCTTGAGCATATCCTCCCATTTTCCCTTCTTTCCGAGATCCAATCGCGATACAAGAGCCTGGCTAAGACCGCCCTCGTCAGCAGCCTTCCTTGCCAGCTCAAGATCCTTGGCGTTGGCTGCCAGGATCTCGTCTTTCGAGGCCGTCAAGGCAGCGTGGATGGCTTCAAGTGCATTGTTGCGCTCGGTAGCCGGGAGGGTTGCGAGAGTGAAAGATGCTGTCTTTGCGGCGCTAGCTGCAGCCTCGGGGGAGGCGTTTGTGAGAGACATTTTCAGTGGCGAATTTGAGAGACGAGGATGAGAATGAGAGTGAGGTTGTAGTCACAAATGTGTGAAAGTGACTCAGGTGAGGTTAGGTATGTTTAAACTGTGCCCCGCTGGTATGCACCCCGCCATTATGAGCCTCAGCCGTTACATGGTCTACATTTAAGTTAATTAAAGGTTGAGTATAATTGAACTAGGTTTACTGCTTATTACATCTAGGAACCAAATCCTAGCTATTAGACTACCCATGCTGTGAGATTGGAATCTCTTTTGTCTGTATCTATGTGGTACGTAGCAGCAAATTGTTGCTTTCGAGGATACGCCCTGCGATATCGGCCGAGACCAAGCCTCTATAATTTCATACTTGTCCAAGGTCACACTGATTGATTTCTTCCGACCCCAACTGCCCGGCCTTTTCTAGCTGTCCGAGTGACTATAACTCAATGTTCCACTCCTTCTTGTCGGGCTGAAAAGTTACTATCAAATGTCCTTTCGAATCACGAATTGTGATATTTTATGAAACGGGTCTGCTCATACAGCATTGTCTATTTTGGACGAACGGCAGCTAAATTGCTGTGACTTGTATATTGCGCCGTTGTCCAAGACTCAGATGCTGCATCCCGAGTCCAGTTCTTAAGCATGCTCGATATGCAATAATGTCATATGTTTCCGCCTCACATGAGATTCTCGTATAAAAATATTACAATGAAGTTGCAAATTATCTCCGCGTTACCCCCACATACAAACCCCATAAGTTGCTACCTATCGTCGGCACCGTCTTCGGCGTCCCCCTCTTCGGTGTGGTCCCGCGGAAAGTACCCAGAGATAATAGAACTATTGGTCATAGTCAGGACCGGAAGCAGGGTGGTTTGTCTCTCCTCGCAAAAGTCGGCATTGTTTGAAGTGCTAGGATGGGCGGTTCCCTTATTATTCATCTCTAAGGCGGAATCACTCTTCCGCACGTCACTATCCCCGGTCCTTTATAATCCTTTCTCTCATATTTTCCCCTTCTTTTGCCAAGTGCTCCAATGGTTCTGAACATACCGCTATCCTATATCTGAATATCAAATCATCTCAGAGTTCATCTGAAAACCCTCTTTCCGTCCCCTTTCCGGCCCGATAACCGCAACCTTTTCGGCCGAGGCTTCTCCACATCTTCGGGCCCGGCCGCAGTGACAATGAAACCTGCAGGGAAAAAGCAAGAAATTGATGATGAAAAGATCGATGCTGACCGAGAAGAAGACCGCCAACGCCCGGGAACTGCTGTATCAAGTTCCATAAAATCAGAACATGATGTTCAAGATACCATTGAACCAGTCGTGCTCGGCGAGCCCCTGGGACATATAGATACTCGACGATCTAACAGGCGTGCTCAGTCCAGAGCATCATCTGCGCGGTCGAGGGCTCTCTCTGTTGTTCCGAGGTCGAAGAGGCGTGGTCTTTTTGCAAAATTGACATTTGTGCCCGAGATTGCGTATCCTCCTGATTACAAGAACTCGACGAAATGGTTTCTCACCGGTATCATAGCATTAGCCACAGCTGCTGCACCTCTAGGCTCGACCATTGTCTATCGTAAGTCCTTAGGAAAACCGTGGTTGCATCCAGAGTTGACAAGAATAGCTGCCCTTCCCGTATTGGTGAAAGAGTTCAACACTTCTGAGACTGTTACCAACCTGTCAGTCGCCTTGTATATGATATCCATGGCCATCTTCCCCCTGTGGTGGTCCTCGTTCTCTGAAGAGTTTGGCCGTCGGTCTATATATCTCATCTCTTTCACACTCTTTGTCATATTCTCCGTCCTCTCTGCCATTAGCAAGAATATTACCATGCTTATCGTCTTCCGCATGTGCGCCGGTGGTGCTTCCGCAAGTGCTCACTCGACAGGTGCAGGCTCAATCGCGGATCTGTTTGAGGTGTTTGAGCGTGGCAAAGCCATGAGTCTATTCTACCTTGGTCCATTGTTGGGGCCTCTGATAGCCCCTATTGTTGGTGGCGCTTTGACTCAGGAGATTGGGTGGCAAGCGACTATGTGGTTTCTCGCTATATACGGCCTCGTTGTCCTCTTGATGATTCTCTTCTTCCTTCCTGAGACGTTGCAACGCAAGCCTGAGAGTACATTGCCCACCACAGAGACTCAGGGACTCAGTCGAATGCGCACTATGGACTCGGCCAAGGCCAAGACCAAAAACTTTGCCAAATCTGCTCGACATTTCCTCATTGATCCTTTGGGAGTCCTCCTATACCTACGGTTTCCACCCGTCCTCATCACCGTGCTTCTTGCTGCCATTGCTTTTGGTTCCCTCTACGTTGTCAATATTGCTATCCAGCAGAAGTTTTCCCGCCACCCATACAACTTCGGCCAGCTTTCCATTGGTCTCATGTACATCCCCTCCGGTTTGGGTTACATCTGTGGATCGCTGTTTGGCGGGCGCTGGATCGACAAGATCATGGCGAGAGAAGCCCGTAAAGCTGGTCGTTATGATGAGAACGGGAAGCTGATCTATCTTCCGGAAGACAGAATGAGAGAGAATGCCTGGGTAATGACGACCATTTATCCTCTGGCACTGCTGATGTTTGGCTGGGTGCTTCGTTACGGTTTGCACCCTGTTGTACCATGTCTCGCCCTATTCTTCTTTGGAATCTCATCCATGCTTGTCTTTGTAAGGCAATGCCCTCCTCTTGCAGCTTCACTAGCTAACCGGTTCTTACAGTCAGTTGCTACCACCATGCTCACAGAGTTAATCCGTAAGCGCAGTTCCTCGGGCGTTGCCATCAACAACTTTGTTCGCAACACGCTTAGTTGTATCGGCGCCATTGTTGCTGCTCCATGGATCAACGCCATTAACGTTGGATGGGTCTTTACAATTCTGTGTATATGCTGTCTCATTATTAGTTACGTTAGTATCATCCTGCTGAGGAAGAACGCCACGAAGTGGAGGAAAACTATGGATGAAGCACTGGCCCAGTGAAGATCGCGGCCAAGGGGCAGCAAATAATGCAGCCATGATAAGTTGATGTGTGGAACTATTTATTTCATATACGACCAAGTAAATAAGAATGAAAACAATCACAATTTATGGTCCAGACCGCGTCTCTATCTTCGTCTATTAACATGAAATTTTACTTGTTACCTTCGAAGAGCTTGCCAACAGCATCAAGACCAATATTACCACCACTGAACACCAGTCCGAGGTCCCAACCCTCTTCGCCAGCTTCTCGCTCTACCATTGATCTGAAATCCTCATCAAACAGCGCTACTGCCAGCGGGACGCAAGCACTGGGCTCCACAACCAGTTTGAACCGCTCAAACACCAGCTTCATAGCCGCCAGGATCTCTTCCTCAGTGACGCTGTACATGCCCGATACCAAGCGGCGACCATATATGACTGACCAAGGGTGCTCGCCCACGGGGGTGCGCAGTCCATCAGCAACTGTAAGAGTCTTGACTGTTGTGATCCGTGTGCCAGACTCGAATCCGCGCTTTGCATCATCTGCATCCTCAAACGATGGCTCCGAGCCAAAAACTCGGATTCCAGTGCCTTCACAGCTCAGAGCAACACCTGAGAGCATACCACCGCCACCGCAAGGGGTCATGATAGCGTCCAATCCAGGTTTCTCCTTCTTGGTCCTCGGCGCCTCGTTGTCCCGCCCTGTAACCGGTGCCCGGAAAAGTCTCCTCTGCCCGTCGACGACGGCATCAGCAGTCATCAATTCGGAAACTTGCTGTTGGAACTCTAGCCCGAGGGTGCCTTGTCCAAGGAGAATATCCGGGTGGTCATAGGGCGGCACAAGTCGAGCGCCTGTCTCGGCGATAACTTTTGCGGCCATTGCTTCGCGTTCAGTGGATGTGCTTCCGCTAAAGATAACACGAGCACCGTAGCCTTTTGTTCCGGCGATCTTCTTGGGGTTGGAAATCTCAGGCATGACAATGTGGGCTTTGATGCCACTCTCTCGAGCCGCAAGGGCTAGTGCTTGAGCATGATTTCCTGTAACAATTAGCCATCATCGCCAGGTAAAGCATGTATGACCTGTTACCAGAACTGTGTGTCACGACTCCTTTCTCCTTGCCCCCTCCCTCTAGCCATCCTGGTTCTTTCTTCAGCCTCTCGATGGCATGAAAAGCACCTCTCGCTTTGAAAGCGCCAATGCGTTGCAAATTCTCGCATTTGAACCAGAGTCTTAGCACCGGTCGGGCCGGCGTTCTGCCAGCATAACGAGTCCCTTCGAGTTCCTCCGCTGTGCGAGGGGTTGAAGCTAGTTTCGTGATAGTCTGGTTGGTCAGGACGGGCGTGAAGTGGACATATGGGCCGATGAGTTTGTGAGCTTCGATGACTGACTCACGAGTCAATGGAGGAGTTGTTGATAGATCAGCCATATTGATTGTGATAATGGTAAGTTGGAATGGTTGGGTTCAAGGTATAAGTCTACAAGATGGACAAACTGTGGCCCTATCTTTGCTGCGCAGTCGAGGGTCTTAAGTATCACCAACTCTCTGGTCATGCTCCGGTTGTCGGCTACTCCCAGCTGCCTGTTTCAGCAACTGATGAATAACGTTACAATCTCGTCGCCAAGCTGACGCTAGACGCTGCTTGTCATATTTAAGGCGTGGGAAGGCAACAAAGGCCCAATGGATCATGTTCGAATGTCAAAGAACTAAATATCACCAGCTGATTGAAGCGATAAATAGGGTTTGTTTGTTCGTTTGTTTAACATAAAATAAAAATGGTATTCGTTTTGGCTTCAAGCCTGATATCAACTTTTGGACCAATTTCAGATCCCCCTCCAGAGCCCAGGAAATTTTTTAAAAGTACAGACAGAAAGTTCATGTGGTTCATAAAAGCCGTTTCCTAGACATCCCATCCCATGTCATGTCCATCTCCCGCTCACAAATTATCATTCAACATTAATAACCGCTTACTTCTGGTTCTCGGGTCGGAGAGATCGGACGGCCTTGCCGGCGCGCCAGATCTCGAGATCGCGGATCTCCTTCATCTCTGCCTCGTACTTCTCACGGTAGTCAGGCTGGCTGTTGTACTCGAGAGATCGCTTGGTCTCGGAACCATCTTTGACGGCGTCGTACAGGGAGTTGAAGACGGGCTTCAGGGCGTCCTTGAACTTGGGGCTCCAGTCGATGGCACCACGACGGGCAGTGGTGGAGCAAGCCTCGTACATCCAGTCCATGCCGTTAGCACCGATAAGAGGGTAGAGAGACTGGGTAGCCTCCTCAACAGTCTCGTTGAAGGCCTCGCTGGGGCTGTGGCCGCGCTCGCGGAGGACCTCGTACTGAGCGAGGAACATGCCGTGGATACCACCCATGAGGCAGCCACGCTCACCGTAGAGATCGGAGTAGACCTCCTTCTCGAAGGTGGTCTTGTAGAGATAACCAGAGCCGATGGCGACACCAAGGGCAACAGCCTTCTCCTCGGCCTTGCCAGTGACATCCTGGTAAACGGCGAAAGAGGAGTTGATACCACGGCCCTCGCGGAAGAGAGATCGGACGGTTCGGCCAGAGCCCTTGGGAGCGCAGAGGATGACGTCGATGTTGGAGGGAACCTCAACCTTGGTGAGGTCCTTGAAGACGGGGGAGAAACCGTGGGAGAAGTAAAGGGTCTGCAAGATTTATGTGTTAGAGCTGTGCCTTGGCTGACAATGGGCGGAGAGTTCTGCTTACCTTGCCCTCAACAAGCTGGGGCTTGATGGCGGGCCAAGTCTCAGACTGGGCAGCATCGGAGAGAAGGTTCATGACGATGGTACCACGAGAGATGGCCTCGTCAACGTCGAACAGGTTCTTGCCAGCAACCCAGCCATCCTGCTCAGCATCCTTCCAGGACTTTCCGTTCTTTCGGACACCAACGATGACGTTGAGGCCGTTGTCACGGAGGTTAAGACCCTGGCCATGGCCCTGAGAGCCGTAGCCAATGAGGGCCAGAGTGTCGTTCTTGAAGTACTCAAGAAGCTTCTCTTGGGGCCAATCGGCACGCTCTGTGGAATACTAGTCAGTACGGGGTGTTCAATTGATCCAGCAGCCGCAATTGGAGATGCAACTCACCATAGACGTCCTCCTTGTGGCCAGCAAAGTCGATGGTCTTGACACCGCGAACCTGCTGCTGGACGGGGCCAGCGGCAACAGGTCGGGCAACGGCACCAACACGAGCAGCGGAGCGAGCAGCAGCAACGAAAGTTCGCTGCTGAACGCGGGGAGCAGAAGCCAGTTGGCGGGCAGGGCCACGGAGGGCCTTTGTGAAGTTGCGAGAAGCCATTGTGAGGATGTGAGGGGACAGTTTGGGAACTGAGGGGAGAGTGTCTGAGAGAGGATGAGGAGGAAGAGAAAGAGGGAAAGGCAATGGCGAGAGTAAAGGTTAAGTAGGTTTAAGCTGTCCCTAATTTTCTCTCCAAGGGACATCGCTTGGAGGGGGGGGACCGATTTCGGCTTGTACTGTGAGGTGGGGGCCCTACGCTGAGCAGCGGGGGATGTGTCTGGGGCCATGTGGGTAGAGGCGACTTGACTGAGAGCGTATCGGAGCAAGGGGAAATGTGTACCATGGACATGACCTAGACCTGGAGAACTCTCTCTCACCTTGAGTCACGTAAGTTTCGTCCAATTAGCGGTGACTTAATATTGTCCAACCACCAAAGCTCTCCGTGTGCGTTTTTTGATGCCTTTGCCATATAAATCTGACCGCCAGAAGAAGGCGGCCCAAGACACTGCTATGGGCAGTAATAATACACTGTAATAATGATAAAAACTCGCCGCTCTCCTTACAGTCCAATTCTTCGAAGATCTTTTCAAAATCAAAGCCCTAGACTAATTGACTTCAATTGCGTGGCAAAATTGAATACTTCTCGCCCGCACCATCTCAAGCTATCCCAACCTGGAGCTAATGCTTTGACGGGGTAACCCTCGAAAGAAATGGGCCCTGTTGCTTTCGGAGTTCTGCTAGTTCCCCCGAGCTCATAAGCCGCATGCCGTCCGACGAACAACACCACGGCCAATTCAGGCGTCTTGTCCAATAGGTCCCTGCCGAACTCAGCATCACGACTCCATATCTGTGAGCGGCAACGGCAGCTGCACCGCGCTCGGGGGCATATCACTTCCTCCGGTCAATATGTCAGACAAGATAGTCCAGATCTGGCGCAATGTTGACTCCTTGAAACTCCACTTACTCCGGGTTACGGACTCTTAGCACCTGGATGAGGCTCAATTCACCTTTCTAGACTCCACGTTATAGTCTATACTCCACGTGCGTAGACGACACCATAAAGCAAACCAGGCAAGCCACGCGATGCTCATCTTGAGCCGTTGATCTTACGTCGGCAGCCAGGGCAGCAAGATATCGCCAGCCAATAGAGAGTACCACTAAACTGCGAGAAGCCCCCCCAAAGACTCACTCAGACTCAAAAAGGCAATACAGGCTAGGTAGGTGGTTGAAGTGAGCTTGTGATCATCTGTACCCGAGCAGGCATCGGAGGCTCAGCTCAGGTCGACTCTACCCCGCCTCCCAAGTCTCGCCAGTGACTCTCCTCTCAACCAAAACCCGTCACTATGAACAATCATGGAATGCTTGAAAGTTGGAGGATTGCCTAATCAAGATCATGGATTTATCAGACGCCACGCGATGCTCTTTGTTATCAAATGCTTGTCTGTCTCAAACACCCATTAAGTCGTTGTATCGTCCCAAAATCTTAACGGCCCGTCCCTTCTGGTTTTCCTTCCCTGGGACTCCTGTTTATTTGTCTTATTCCAAATCTATTTCAGGACCCTGTCGTATGTCCTGCCCTTGACTACTCCACCACCCATAGCAGTCCTCACGTTGCGCTTGAATCCCTCTCGGTTGTTTCGTAGATCTTCAGCTGCCTCCTTGTTGAGCGGGTCCGATGCGTTGGGTTCGAGGAACAGGAACTGCAAAAGTATTAGTCACTAATCCACAATCATATGTGCTTCGTATTTCACGTCTGAGCAACTCAAGGCGCTTTGCTTTCCGGACTCCTTACCTGCAGGCCAACAATCACAGCATTCAAGTTCAGCACTGGCTTCCAATCCTCTCGTAGAATGTTCAGGCAGACCTTTCCCTCAAGATCGATATTGGGGTGGTAGATCTTTTCTCGACACCGGACCTTGGGAGGCTCGTGGGGAAAGTTCTGGTTTATGGTGAAATCGAAGGTAAAGCGGCTGCCTCGGTACATGCCCTCATCAGGGTCGATCGTGAGTACGAAGTTGAGGATATCATCGGGGTCGGGGAACTCTGTCTTCATCGTTGATCCGAGGGAAAGTTCTGAAAGATCTGTTGTAGCATACGTTAACCTCTTCATCCTAAATACACCGCTACACGTTAAGGTCTGGACAGGATGAAGCATACCTTTTTGCACGCGCAGCTGAGCTGCAGTCACCTTCTTCTTCTTGCCACCCGTCGCCTGGCCCTCGGCGTTCTCTGCTTCCTTCTGCTCCTTTTTCTATACCACTGTCAGTGTCTACCTAGCTGGTAGCGGCCGGTAGATAACTCACCATCGACCATATCTTCAACATCGTGGATGTGGGGAGCCCAGGTTTGGGCTGTCGTTATACGCTGCGGAAAGAACTTGATGAGATCACAGAAAATGAAGTGCGAGAGCCCAGGCACGACGGAATTTTCAAATAATAGGATAATGTAGGGCAAGTAGCACTGCAAGATTCTGAGAGATTGGTTGTGAATGCGCTGAACTCAGTTGCAAGAAGGGTCTAGTCGTGCTTAGTGGAAAAGGTGATGATGCTTGATAAGATAGCACGGCGTAAGGCAGCCACAAGCCTAAACCTTGAACCCCACCGAAGTTTAGGCGATAAGGTACCACCAGAATGACGCATAATATGTCGTGTGAGTTAGTACCCAAGGAGGTAGCCAATGATGGAAGAAGACACAAAGGACAAGGCAATATTAACTATCAAAAAAGAATCATATCATTCAAATGCGTCATAAACCCCCAGGGGCAGATGCCAATCTGAAAAAGACTAAATAGAGATGCATTTGCTCGTGCTCAGGTCTGGTCTGAATACCTTCACTTCCAATGTCCTCTTTTGTGGATGTCCCTCCATTTAACTCAAATAGTCAAAACCCAGCGTACGTTACATAACAAAGGTATCCGGTACAAAAATCCAGTTTGTCTACTATGACAAGTGCCAGTACTTTCCCGTACCTGGCCTCTCCAGAAAAGTGCGAGTGTCGAACACAACGAGCGTAGGTACGCACGAAGTTTATCGTCTCGAAAAACAGCACATGATACCAGTCCTGCCCAGAAACCACAAGAAACCGGCAAAACGAACGAGCGAGAGCACGGCAGTAGCGTACAGAAGGAACTGGAAGTAATGCGCCTTGCGATCTGTGGCAGGTTCCTATCAAATTGTTAGTATAAACCGCGTATCGCGTAGCGCTGGAGAAAACTTACACCCCATCCGAGGTTATCGAACTTGTCGCTGGTAATGCAGACAATAAGGAGAATGTTTCCGAACAGCCAGCTGACGACGAGTCCTGTTCGGAAAGACTTGTAGCCATCTTCAACATCAGCCTTCTCAACCTCTTCCTCCTCCTTGAAGGGAGCAAGAGCTCGGCGGACGGTCTGCTCGAATTGACTGTCGATATCCTCCTGCTCCTTCTCAACTTCCTCGACAACAACCTCGTTCTTCTCACCCTTGGTGACGTGGGCAGAGGGAAGTGCCTCAGCCTTGTCTGAGCCCTTGGTACCCCAGGAGACATCGTGCCAGTTGTTGAAGGCATAAACCATGAGAATGTTGATGTAAGTCGACATGAGAAGTAGATAGTAGGGGAAGGAGTGGAACATGTGCCAGGGATCGAGGTACATGAACGAGGCAACAAAATTGAGTCCATAGATGGTGATGAGGGCGACTAAAATAACACCTCCAGCACTTGAACCGCCAAAGAAACTGTCAAGGAAAGCGTCGGTCGAGGCGAACGAGATCTGGTCTCCAATGGGCGTGTCAAAAGCACGAACAACTAGGTAGGCTGAGAGGACCAGGATGTAACCCTGAATGAGACTGAAGACCATGAAGGAAGCGATGTACGTAAACTTGGAGCCCTTGGGCCTGTTACCAAGAGCCAGAATGAACTGGAGCATGACGAAAGCTAAGTAGAGGTACTGAAGCAGGGCATTGACGACAGGTGTACCCGTGTCGCCGAATGGCCAGGCGTGATAACCGGACGCAGGCTTGGGCGTACCCACAAGATCCATGATAACGGATGTTGTAAGCCAATAAGAACCAAGAGAGAACCATGCGAAGAGAGTGTTGAGAGTGGTGTAGATGAGTTGAATGTGGAGGAAAAACATGCGGATGATGTTATGACCCGACTTGTACATTCGTCCGAAATGCATCAGTGAGTATAGTGTGGCAGCGAATGAACCATTGAGCCATCGTCGACGTTGACTAATGAATTCAGCTGCACCTTCAGGCACATCGGTTTCACCCTTGGCAGCCTTGATATAGGACAAGTGCCACTTCTGGCCAGCCTTGGCCACCAGCTCAAAACAAAGAATACGATCCTCGGCCAAGAACATGTTCTTCTTGAAAATGTTCATACCATCGATACCCTTCTTACCAAGCATCTTAGACAAGGTATGATCACCATGGAAATACTGTTCCAGCGGGCGGCCCATGATGGCTCGGAATCGGTAGGCCGAGAAAGCACCAGGTAAGACAGAGACATAACCAAAAGAAGACTCGAGAGGCTTGTCCAGAATGTTTGAAATCTTGTACTCGAAGTTCTGGACGGCAACGAGGGGGTTGAACAGCTTTTTTCCCCCCTTACCCAGCATAGCGTGAATCTCTCCACAAGCACCTCCCAGGTCCTTATCGTTGTAAAATCCCTCCCAAAGAGCAAGGAGAGATCGAGGACTGGGCTTGGTACCTGCATCAAGCAGGATACACACCTCAGGATTCAAGATACGGCCGAATGCGTTGAACAACCATCGATGCGAGTTAATCTTCTTGGTGTTCTTTTGCTTCAAACAGAAGATCATTTGAACTGGTGGCAAGTTCTGTGTGCCTTCGTTTGTGGGTCGAATAAGCTGCTGGTTGGGCGTGACGGAAAGCTGGCTGGTGTATTCGAAGATGTGAGCAACAGTCTCCTTGCCGTCGACATCCTTCTTGATAACACCGTCCTGGTACACACCGACAGTGGCAAGGACATCCAGAGTGTTCTTGTCAGCCTTGTCGATACCATCGAAAACCAAGCATACAACGATCTTCTGCCAAGCTGGACCGCCCTTGTTCCAG